GGGGGGGGGGGGGGGGGGGCGCAGAAGAGTGTTTTAAAGATGTAAAAGAGGCAGACACAATGGTAGAAAAAAAGGTTAGGTAAGCACCGGGAAGCAGTCGAATATGACATACAGTGGTGTGATGATAGTTTGACGTGAGAAGTCAACTGCCAGTTAATAGACTTTTTGCCGTATGGTATACGTTGCCCAGGGTGCACCACGGACTCTTTTGCCGTGTATACGTTGCCCAGGGTGCACCAGTTTGTTTGCCGTATGAGTATACGTTGCCCAGGGTGCACCACGTGATAGACTTACTTGCCGTATGAGTACACGTTGCCCAGGGTGCACCACGTGGTGCCTTATGAGTATACGTTGCCCAGGGTGCACCACGTGGAGCCGTATGAGTAAACGTTGCCCAGGGTGCACCACGTGGAGCCGTATGAGTATACGTTGCCCAGGGTGCACCACGTGCCGTTTGAGTATACGTTGTCCAGGGTGCACCACCTGGAGGTAAGTCTATCGTGAGTATACGTTGCCCAGGGTGCACCACGTGGAGGTGTATGAGTATACATTGCCCAGGGTGCACCACGTGGAGGTAGCCGAATGAGAATACGTTGCCCAGGGTGCACCACGTGGAGGTAAGGTGTGAGTGTACGTTGCCCAGGGTGCACCACGGACTCTTTTGCCGTGTATACGTTGCCCAGGGTGCACCAGTTTGTTTGCCGTATGAGTATACGTTGCCCAGGGTGCACCACGTGATAGACTTACTTGCCGTATGAGTACACGTTGCCCAGGGTGCACCACGTGGTGCCTTATGAGTATACGTTGCCCAGGGTGCACCACGTGGAGCCGTATGAGTATACGTTGCCCAGGGTGCACCACGTGGAGATAAGTCTATCACACACCCCAGTTATGCAGACATAACGTTAGAAAGACAGGAACTTTCCAGTGTGGTGCGATGGAAAGTTTTATGGAGTTTTAGACGTATTGAAAGTATATTTTCAAGTTCACTCACTTCATTAATGCATATTCCAGCTACTTAATAACCTTAAGTGCAATAGGAATAGTTAAGTCTCATGAAGGTAAAGGAAATTATTAAGTCAGATTAAGTAAAATGGATAACTAGCATTGAATGAAAATAACAAACGCACAGTAACTAACTAATTTAAGCAAACGATGATTTTTTTAAAATTATTACTCGGAGGAGTATATAGTTGTAGTTTCATACTAAACACAATCTTAGGTCATGGAGTTTGTTTATACTACTTCAATAACCCGTAAGCATTTGAATTGCTATAAGCCCCGCGGAATGTTATAACGATAGACATGGAGCAGCATAAGTGGATTTTACTTCAAGCTCTTTTCGCATTTGGTTTTTTCCTTTACCGTAAGTATAATGCTAACTTAAAATTGTCACATTTCAAAGCATTTATTTTATTTAAATAATATAATTAAAAATACTTATATAGTGTTTTACTTCTATATTTTTTAATAAGGAGATTTGCGTATAAAATTTGATGAATGCGTTTTGATAAGTGATATTATTTTGGATTTAGGTTGCACCGAAGCCACAGCAATAGATCAAATATATGCCCTTTTATTTGGAACAATACATAGTCGTTGGATGAATATTCCCGTCGAACTACATTGTCCCATATCAAACCCTGTAAGGCTAATACTCACTTTTTATCATTTATCAACAATTAGTCTCGACAACTGTGGTACTCTACCGATTCTGTCTATAAAGCCGCCTTTGGTTGTCGTGATGAATCTGATCTTAGTCTCTTTCTTCCTATCTTCCCTGATGATGAAAATATCACGTAAATACTATACTTCCCTTAATTATTGCTCACTACCATTCTAGTTTTGTTGGGTCGAATAAGACTCATTTCGCAACCTGTATCTTCTATCTGGTTGGCGAATTTATAATAACGGATGGTTATCTGTTCTCAACACAAGAACACAATTTTGATAGTCGCTTTAATGTTGAAATTTATACTGATCTTGGAACTTCTATCACTTTAAATACAACTATCTGCAAAACCGTAAGAATGAATTTGAATTCTGGAAGTTAATTGTTAATGATAGGGTGTCATACGAAATGGAACCTGTGGAAGTAAGGACGAATTAGGCGAAAGCTTCCCTGGTAAACAAATGAATCGAAATCTTCCAGATCGTTATGAAGTTAGTTATACAGTCCGTGCTCGAGATGGGGATCGACATAAGTAAGCTTGTCTTCTTTAATTTTACTTAGACAAATACCTATGAATGGGGAAAAATGATTTGTCAGTTGGGGCCCTGAAATTTCCTAGCAGTCAGTTAATTTTATGCTTTCAATTCGTTGAATTTAATAATAGGTTAAAAGGAAACACCAGTGTTTATACCTAAAATAGTAGTGATTTCATTAATATTTCTTCCCAAGCCAGACCGTCTATAATTTGTAAGTAGGAAATTAAAATTAACTGGGAGAAAATTATTTTTTTTCTGAGAAATTCAACTTTCTAAATAAGAAAGTTCTTAAGCGTTTGTCTTAAATTCACAAGGTGATTTCAAACTTGTCTAATCAACAAACTCTATCATCGCTGCATTCATGATAGCCGTTAACTGATTGTATTAGGGATCAACTGCGAACTAATATGGCTATAATTGTGGGACTCTTTATGCTATCTGGTTTAGAATTGCAAGGGGTTGTTGCACAAACAGACCAATATCCATTCAAAAGTATAGAGGAAACGGATGCTTTTGCGTGGAACACGTTTATTTTGGTTATTTTTCTGTCCCCACTCCCCCTCTCTAGATAAGTAATTAAAATGCATTGGGAGTTTGCTAAACAATGCGGGTATTATCGATTGGTGGGTCGGCTAAGAGGTTTGAGTGCCCACGACGATACTTGTTCTCATCGTGACATGTAGCATTGTCGCACCTTCGAGTCTGTCTGGTGGTGATGGTGGTGGTGGGTTTCTTAGTTCAACTGCGCTGGTGTTGTGCACTCCACAAACATCTTGTTATTCTCGTATTATATGATTGAAACACTATTTTCAGTTGAAACTATCTACAGCTGCGTTGAGAGCCCTCACCGTTGATCCGATTTAATCTCCCCAATTCTTTTTTCTTTGGTAGTTTAATTTATCCAACTACCAACATTTATGGTTCGAGTTATTGTTTGTGTAATGAGTAGAAAAATTATGTACTTAAATGCACCAATTCACTTGTGACGTAGCTATCATCATGAGTTTCTAGTGAGTTAGAGATTGTGGATCTAATTCTTACCGACTTACTTTCATTGAATGGTGACAGCAAACTTCTAATTAGCGCACCAATTCACTTGTGACGTAGCCATCACCTCAGATTTGAGTCTGTATGTGTGGTTATGAGATTTATTTGCTCAGCCATGGCAGTACTGTGCCCTCCCCAATACTTCCTCCCCCCCCCCCCCCTCTTAATCCGTAGTGAGGATACTAAACGATTAGGAAAAATACGCTCAATAATTAGTCACTTTACATAAACTGCTAATCGAGAGGAAAATGGAAACTTTGAGTCGAAATATCCTAATTTTTGTTGCGGTAGGGTAATTCGAGGATTGAGCAGGAGCGTTAGATGGGTTCAGAAGCAACAAAGGAAAGGTTAGGGTGAACGGGATGGGAGTCATCAAGGTGGCCAAAGGGGGGGGGGGTGAGGGGTGTATAGAACTACTGTTCGCTATAAATAGTTGACATTAGTTGGTGGGAGTTCAGCTACTTGATTTCGGGATTCAAATTTTCATACATTCCATAGCCTCTTCTTTCGTCGTCGACTTCACGCTGGACTTTGACTTATCATTGACTTCAAGTAGTTTATAGAGGTTGAATTTCCTCTCGAGCGTTGATTTTGGCTGGTCGGACGGTTTCTCTTTGTGTTTGATGGTTCTGAGTAGAGTAGACGATGGTGGAGTTTGGAAAACACTCACAAGTTGAAGAAGTGAGTCTCTGAAATGGTGGAGTTTGTGTTCTGTCCTTTTTGGCAAAGTTGATAATACTCGGAAGCCAACAATGGGTTGGGATGGTTCAGGAAACTTTGGCTTCTTGCGGGTCTCCACAGCAGAAGACGGTGTTTAGAACTTCTGTGTTGGGTAACTGATTTGAACAGATTTTGTTGGTTAGCAGCAGGTTTAGTCGTTTATCTCTTTCGTTTGTTATGTCTCTTGGTTGAGACAGTAGAAAATGCCCTGATAGAAAGGTATGAATACCTCCACATATTGAGTTGAAGTCATCGACGAGATCTGAAAGCTCTTTGGAGAGTTATCGTGTGTTTATTTAGAACACCTAGGCATCAAATTCCTTCACGGGATTGTCTTTTATTGAGGACTGTTGATAATAAGGCTCAATAGTTTCTGCGATGTTCAAATCTTGGAGTTATATAGTACAACTGGAAGAGAGAGGTTACGAAAGTTTGTAAAGTGGCTGTTAGTAGCATTCAGGGTGAAATAAGTGGGCTGTGAGGAAAGCATTTTGCCGCCGAACGGGGAATAATGCCGACTTCAAAACAGTGGAATTTAATTTTGAGGTAGCATTGTCGACCTTTAGGTATTTGCAGCCTGATTAACATTTCTTTGCATCATCCACATGAGTTGCGCTACAGTAGCTGCCGTGAAGAGAAAGCCAAATTATTGTGGGGTGATGGGGTTGGGAATTGGAATTTTCATTGAATGAAAACGTAGCTGAACGTAGGGCTCTTGAAACCTGATCGGCTACTTCAGTTAGTTCGTCAAGGTTGGTTCTGCAAAGTTCTGGAAGCAAGACATGTTTCCATATTTGTAGGAGGACATTTCATCCATGATTGTCTCGAAAAATGAATAGTCTAGATTGTCTCTGGAGGGATGTTGTGAGGAAGGCGAGAAAGAGAGAAGTTGTTGAAGACGTTTCACCTGAGAACGCACCATCAATGATACCGAGGGCTTGTGATGTGACATTGTATGGTATGGCATCGATAGTGTGCTGAAACAGGTTTCCCCGCTTGGTAGCACCCCACCAGTTTGAGAATAATTTCCAGTTGTATGAAGTAAATATGGGGGTATGTTGAATCGAAAATAGGCTAATAAGGAGGAACACCCAATGCCATTCACACTGAAATCTGTCTCCGTGACAGTGGAAGGGAACGAAAGGTGTGAGTTGACGAACTGGTGATTAGTGTTAGAGGAGGAAGAGTGCAACTAAACGCGTGAAACGAAATGAAAATAAATCGTAGAGCCAGGGTGAGATTGGGTCTCTGCTGAGCAGATCAAGTCAGGTTTAGTGAATCACGTCAAGGTCACTCATTATGTAGCCAATTGCTACACGAACGAGCCTGGACATATCATCAGTAACATCTACTCCAGAATTCCTTCAAAAATATAGATGGAAAAGGTGCGCTGTGTTGAACACATTTATTTCGGATGTTTTTCACTCCCCGAGATTAGTCATTGAAATACAATGAGGGTTTGCTAAACAATGCGGGTGGCTGGCTGGGAAGTCTGAGTACTTACGACGCCGATTGGTCCCTACGTGACACAGCATAGCCTCAACTTCGAGTCACTTTGGTTGGTCATGCGATTTCTTTGTTCGGCCGTGACAGTGTTGCGTACCCCACGTATTCGAAATTCCAAATACCCAAGTTCTATTACTTGTTTGCTTGTTATGATAAGACTGCTGATGAGATGGACTGTGTGCTCATTATTACGCAAATAACTTATGCAACTCAAGGACTTGCTTTTGCTAATCGTCGATTTGTAATATTTATTTATTTCAAATGCCAGGCGTTATGATAGGTATCACTAGCCCTTTAGTTGACTTCGTGCTTCACAGAAAGGAAGAGGAATACCAAAGCGGCAAAAAGTCGAGAGTTGGGACAGAATAATGATTCACAGACGTAAAGGGACAGACAGACACAAAGGTAGAAAAAAGGTGAGTACTGTGGAATTAGTCGAATATGAAATGCGGTGGGGTCTTGGTAGTTTGAAGTCAGAAGTCAACTGTCAGGTAATAGACTTTTTTGCTGTATGAGTAAACGTTGCCCAGGCTGCACCACGTGGAGATAAGTCTATCTCACACCCCCGAGTTGTAATATAAAGCGAGTATTTGATTTCGCTCGTATTTATTTATTGCTTGAATCCGGAGATGAGCAATTTGCAATATGAGATAGATTATTTGATTAGGAAGGGTCAGAATTCGTTTACTACTTTACATAATGCGATGAGGCCCGGGTTTAATACCAAATAAGCAGCATTGAGTAAATTTTCAAACAGAGAAAACTTGCTTTTTTAGGGACTTTAAAAAGTAACTTATACAGCACAGCGTAGATAATAGTTAAAACTAGTTTTCATTTTCTCATAATGACTATATTTCTCATTTATTAATATATCGTTCTAATTAAAATAATTTTTTATGAATCATTTCTGGCAGAAGAGGAAGTTTGATATGAGTTTTCGCATGTAAATAAACAAATTAATAATAAAAGTTTAAATGTAATTTAACTTAAAGAATAAATTCTTTTACAAATCTTGTACCGAAATTATTTTAACACCGAGTACATTGGCCTTGTTTGCTACATAAAAAATCCCTGATATTCCCAATAATTTCTATGGTAAGATCAACTCAAATAATATAGAGTGAACGGTGCACTGTGTAGAATATGTTTATTTGGGACATTATTCTGTCCCTAGATTAGTTGTTAAAATGCAATGAAGAGCTGGTTTAACAATGCTGGTATTATTGATTGGTGGCTGGCCGAGATGACTGTTACTAACGCATAAACTGGGTCCCAACGTGACAAGTGGCACGCCACACCATCTAGGCTGTCTGGGTTATCATGAGTTTTCTCTGTTCAGGCACCTCATTGTTGTGCACTTTCCAATACCCCCTTCTCCTCTAAGGGTACAAAAAGTAGAGATAAAATGCTGGTTTATTAGTCACAATGCATAAACCGCTATCCGAAAAGAGAAGGCAACCCTTCGAAAGGCTGTGACAACCCTTAACATTGAAACCACAAAGTCAATTTAAAAGTGCATTTCGTTGGCCTACTTAATTCTTTCCCATTTTATGCATTTAGATTTACCCAAATAACAATATCTATGTTACGATAAATGGTTTATAAAATGAAAAGTAAAAGAATATACTTAAAAGCGCCAATGCACTTATGATGCATTCATCCCCATGAATTAGAGAACGGTAAAAGTAAAGCGAACCTTTAATTGGAAGTCTCGACAATCTGTTTTTGGTTATTTTTTTCACCTAAATGAATGGTGAAGGATATTGGTTAGAGTAAGTAAGGATTCCTAAAAATATTAGACAATATTGTGCATATGGTGGTTTTCGTACAAACCTATAATATCTCACCAAAATTAATTTGGTATTTTAGTCATTTTAAACAATGGGAAATATAAATGTGTGCATATGTATTTTGTATTTATTTTAGATGCATGGCCAGCATAGGAGGGGAATTTCACTCGTTTGTAGTTCGAGTAAAAGGTAAGCCGAAAGTTGAAATAATTAAAAAAACATGTTTGATCATCAGCTGTAAGACATTTGTTTCTTTCCAACTATGAGTTTACCGAAATTCCATACATTGGAAGTATACCTTTCAAAGTTATCGAAATTGTCTATGGTTTTGTAACATCTGCTCAGCTTATTAATTACTGCGATCAAGTTATTTAAGGCTGCTGGCTACACAAATATTTGATTCGTATACGTATTTGTTAAATATTTAATTAAATTAGTTGAACTCCGATAATCAAGCTGCCTGGATCTATTTCAACAAGTTTCAAACCTTTTGATATTGTATTTCGTTACGTAGAGAGAAGCATATTCAAATTTAATTTAGATCTTCCTCCAGAAGTCAACTTTTGAATATTTTGTTATTAAACTCATATTGTTTCATTGTCTTTGTTTCATCTGATAAGAATGCTTTGTGACAAAAAGAATCTTAAATTCTAAGTAGCTAGATAAAAATTTTAGGTCAGATAAAATAAAATAGCAAAATAGTCTTGACGAATATGAGATAGACTTATTGGTGGTGATTAATTTATTAATTCAAGCAAAAAGATTCTTTTCTCTTAAATGATTATCGTAAAGTGTGTATATTATTAATTTCGTATTAAATATAAACTATCTAAGGTCATGTGATTTGTTTATAATACTTCAATAGCTAGCACGCATCTGAATTGCTCTAAGTCCATCGGAATGTTATAACGGCAGACATGAGGCAGCATAAGTGGATTATACTTCAAACCCTTTGTGTATTTTACATCTTCCTATCCCGTATGTATAATGTTCACATTAAATTGTCAAACTTAATGAAATTTACAATATGTTAATTATGTAATGAATTAATACTTATATATTTATTCTTTTTTCAACTTAAAATAAACAAAAGCGTTTTCAACTAAGGTTTTGATATATGATATTATTTTGTTTTAGGTTTCACCGAAACCTCAGAAATAGATCGAATATCTGCCAAATTTTATCGAACTGTATATCGTCGTTGGAATTTTCGTCCCATCGAATTACATTGTCCTTTTTCCAACCCCGTATGATTGATTTCATTTTTTTAATTTTCAATAATTAGTCTCGACAACTGTGGTACTCTACCGAATCAGTCTATAAAGCCGCCTTTGGTTGCCGTGATGGTTCTGATCTTAGTCTCTTTCTTCCTATCTTCCCCGATGTTGAAAATATTACGTGTGTATTTTACTTCGTTTAATTATTCTTAACAACTTATTTTAGATTTGTTGGTTTGAATTCGACTCATTTTGCAACCTGTACCTTCCGACTTGTTGGCGAATTTATTGAAGTGGACGGAAATTTGTTTTCATCTCGAGAACACAATTTTGATGATCGCTTTGATGTTGAAATTTACACTGATCTTGGAACTTCTATCACTTTAAATACAACTATCTGCAAAACCGTAAGAATGAATTTGAATTCTGGAAGTTAATTGTTAATGATAGGGTGTCATTCGAAATGGATCCTGTGGAAGCACGGATGCACTTGGTACGAAGTTTACTGGTGAACAGATAAACCGTCGCCGTCCGGTCGGTTATGGAGTTAGTTATACGGTTCTCGCTCGAGATGGTGATCGACATCAGTAAGCTTGTCTTCTTTAATTTAATTAGACTACTACCTTTCCTTCAATTAATGAAGATGAGTATGAAAAATAATTTCTTATTAGGAACCATGACATTACCTATCAGTCCGTTACTTTCTATCCTTTAAATTCGTTTAATTTAATTATAGTTTAAAAAGAGGCCACCAGTTTTTGTAATTAAAACGGCAGTAGTTTCATTAATATTTCTTTAAAAATAGAATATCTTGTACTTTTAAGTAAAAGAAATTGCTTCTCAACTAATTGGATAATCACAATGTGGTTTCAAACTCATTTAATGATCAACCTGTTATCGCTAATGATTTTAAACTGGGATTTGATTTAATTAGGATTCGACCCCGAAACAATTTAACGTCAATTGTGTCCCTTTATGTTATCTCGAGGAGAATTGTAGCGGATTGCTACAGAAACAGGGCGGTACTTACCGTCAGCTATCTCTACTATAAGATCCATTCAAAATTAAGGAGGAAATAGGTGCATTGTGTGGAAAACGTCTATTTTGGACACTTTTCTGTACCCCCTCCCCCCTCCCTAGATAAGTAATTCAGGTGCAATGCGGGTATTATTGATTGGTGGGTCGGCTAAGAGGTTTGAGTGCCCACGACGATACTTGTTCTCATCGTGACATGTAGCATTGTCGCACCTTCGAGTCTGTCTGGTGGTGATGGTGGTGGTGGGTTTCTTTGTTCAACTGCGCTGGTGTTGTGCACTCCACAAACATCTTGTTATTCTCGTATTATATGATTGAAACACTATTTTCAGTTGAAACTATCTAAAGCTGCCTTGAAAGCCCTCACCGTTGATCCGATTTAATCTCCCCAATTCTTTTTTCTTTGGTAGTTTAATTTATCCAACTACCAACATTTATGGTTCGAGTTATTGTTTGTGTAATGAGTAGAAAAATTATGTACTTAAATGCACCAATTCACTTGTGACGTAGCTATCATCATGAGTTTCCAGTGAATTAGAGATTGTGGATCTAATTCTCACCAACTTACTTTCATTGAATGGTGACAGCAAATTTCTAATTAGTGCTCGAAAATGGTTTTTTTCGAAATATTTTAGGAATTCCCGATAATTAAGTCGTAGTTACATTTCATCTGATTGTTAGGTGAAAGATATTTGTTTGAATAAGAATAATTTTTATTTTATAAATTATTACGGTATTTTATTCTCGTGGTTGTGTTTATGTGCCAATCTATAATTTCCCGCAAAAAATCAATTTTTGTGTTTTTTAAAATAATTTGAAACAATGGGAAAAATATACATAAATATGTTATATATATATATTTTGTATTTGTTTTAGATGCAAGGCCAGTGTAGACGGGGTATTTCACTCGTTCATAATTCGAGTAAAAGGTGAGCCAAAAGTTGAAAAATAAGCATACATACAAAAATTGCCTTGTTAACCAGCGGTAAGACATTTATCTCTTTCCCACTCTGGGTTTCCGAAATTTCACACTTTTGCGAGTTTACCTTTCAAAGTTATCGAAATTGCCAATGTGCTTACTAATTTACTGATTTCAAGTTAGTTAAGGATATTGACTGTGCACGCATGTCTGTTTCATATCTTTTCTTTTATACATTAAACTGGCTCTAGTCTGATAAGTGGATGTGTTGTTGAGCAAATTCAGCGAATTTTGGATGATGTTTTGTTAATTGGGTGTTTTGAAAAAGATAGTCTGTTTTGTTTTTAAATTTTTAAATGAATGTAACCATGTTGTAGTGTCTCTTTTCATTCTCTGATAATCCTCAAATTTAATATAATTAACTTAATATGCTCGTCAGAATCTAATTAACATTGTATGCTCCTTGTCGCAATTGCGGATGAAGTCACTCGTTTTTGGTCATAATTAACGCACTCCTAGCCTTCGACATTGAAATCGATGTTACTGAGATCTCTACCAGAGTTCAAGGGCACTGTTTTCCTTTAGTGTAACTATGCCCACTCTCCTTTTCGTGGTGTGTTCAACTTGAGAACGTACATCACATGTAGGATTTCTGTCTTTCGATGTAATTTGTCCCACACACTAGTAAAAGCTATTATTTTTTGCAATAATGTAAGTCTTCTTTTCCAGGGAAAATTTTCCCGGGCATGAAATTCTCCCTGCGAGGTAATTAAGACACTTTTTTGCTTTGTCTTTTTGCAATAATTCGATGGGACCTGGAACTCTCTCTAAGTACTACAGCGCATTCACATAGTGAGGTGAATACCAACCTCGAGCGCGATCAGAACGAATGTGCACAAATCAAATTTGTTAAAATTCAAATTTTTATTCAATTTAATAATTATTTCATGGAATTCTTGGCTACTTCATCCTGTTTATTTATAAATCACCCCTCCCAAATTACATTTTCAAATGTTTATCTTGGGCCTGTTAGATGTTTTTTGTTGCGAGTCAACCCCCAAAGCACCAAAGTCGGTAGCGTTTAAACTTTAGAGGCAAGACTTTATTAAAAGAATGGTGTAAAAAGGCAGGCGGAATGCTTTTCTAGGGAAAAAAATCAATAATAACATTTTTATGACATTTAAGTACTTTCCAGAGGCGGATAATTTTAGTCAAGTTAGTTTAAAAATACCTACTTCCTTCCGCCGACTCAAAAGGAGGGTGGTGGTGGAGGTGGAGGTGGGGGGGGGGGGGGGGGGGGGGGGGGGGGGGGGGGGGGGGGNGTGTGGGAGGGAGGGAGGAGGGGAATTGGAATTTAAATCTTATTTGTATTATTTTTTTAGAAAAGTCACCAAAATTTTGATAGTTGTCTTTGAACGTTATGAGACTGTATCATTATATGACATGGTGTTGCTGTTTATCAATGCCATATCTGGTGATAAGCAATAAGACTTTTAATGTATGCTGATAATTAGGGCAGTGACTGAAAGCTTATTTGCACCAATGATCTGTTAATGTAGACGCGTGTCATGAGATCGATTCTCATTCAACGATGGTCAATCGCATTTGTCAATTTTGTACTGGCCAGGAATTTGATCTCTCCAAAAAAATGCGACTTTCAGATCTTTTCTCTCTGATCGAACCTCGGATTTCGCTTACGGAACTGGGAGGTCTTTAATTGAAGAAATCCCAGAATTCCTTATTTCTGTTAAGCATGTCATTTAATGAGCACTTCTACCTGACATATTTGAAACCTGTATGATTGGGAGGAGGTAAATCACTGATCAACAATCATTGAATATTGAAAAAAAACGATCCAGTCAGTATCCAAAATTTTTGAAAACGGATAATTGAAACATGTAAACATTGGACTATGCCCCAAGTATACAACTCCACTTCAAAGTTCGAGACTCTCTCTCTTTTTCCCGAATTCTCCTCAAAGTCATTCCTTTCAACTCTTATTGTCTCCCCCCCCCCCCCCCCCCCCCCCCCCCCCCACCTCCCTCCTACTCCCCATCTCCTCAGATTTGGAGGTAACTATTGCAAGATCGCAAATTGCTCTGTACCTTAGCAACTATGATGATGGTAGTAGTATCCAAATTGCCTATTTTCTTATCTTTCGCGCTAGAATTAGCTGTCTGTTTGCAAATACAGCTTTTCTCTTAGTTTCGAAAGGTAATATATATTAGCTTAGCCCGATGACGTGATTGCAATAATGGAAGTTGTCTGTTTGCATTGTAACCTTGTTTCTACTCTAATGGGTCTAGGATACAATTGAAAGCGCTTTGCCTAACTCTGGTGGTTAAACATTCCGTTTGCGTGATTTTTTTAATTGAAGGAATAATTTTGTCTTGGCTTTCAAGTCGAGGTACTATCTAATATTTACTGGACGCCATCATGCTTGGTAATCAAACTTCCTAATTACATAAATATTTTCTCTATGTCGATTGTGTAGTTTCAAAGTCTTCTCTCTCTCTCCCTCCCTCCCCTCTCCCTGGAAACGTTTGATTGCCAACTAATAGAACCTAGTTTAAGCACGCTGCAATTCATTGAGCGGTAGATATTATAATTAATTTGAACCAAGCGCACAATCCGAACCTGCTCTATTACAGTCGATGCCAAATGAAAACATTGGAGTCTGTATGGGAATTGGTCTCCAATACTCAAGCCAGTCAGCCAATATCTTCCATAGCTCTCAATCCTGTCCACTCAGTTGTATCTATGTGGGAACACGTCCAGAATTTCGCTCGAAATGCTTATCATTAAATCGAAGCCCCTTAGGGCCCAAAGCCCTGAACACAATTCACATAGCCTTCGGTATTCCCCCCCCCCGGGACCCCTCCCTCAACCCTCCACCCCTCCTCCCCCCTCCTCAACCCTTAACAGCAGGTCAGTTAGTGTCAAAGTATCGCCAACTTGTTCCCAATTGAGGAGGATGGTGTAGAGAGGCCCCGCCAATATTAATTCGATCGAGCGAATTGACGACTTTCACTTTCTCCATAAGTTTGGTCATTATTGGAGGGCTTCATTTCACCCCTTTCTGTTCCCCTTTAAATACCAAAATCTCCGATTTCATTAATATTTTAGAGAAGCTAACTTCAAGAAAAAAATTAGGTTGCTTAACAGTACTTTAATCAAAGATCTCCAGTCAATTTCTTACATTATCCGGTCTAACTGTCCCCCTCAACTTGATCTTGGGCCACCTTCCGATTTATTCCTCGTGGAAATGGAAACATCGAGTTGGTGATTCGCGTCTTAAAAAGAAGATCCTTTTCTGCGTCATCATGACAGTCTCAGCTTTAGAATGTTCATTTTGAGTTTAGTTTAAAAACCGTTGGGTGATTAACCCCACCATCTTACAAGTCAAGGTTTACGTCCTTACAATTTTGGTAATCACGTTTCCTGTGAACCCGTTCTAATAAACTTAGCACCAAGATAGAGATACAGAGAGAGAGTGAGTGAATGAGTACTCGTAAAACCGCGCAGTTTCATAACTGTCTCATTTTATGGCTGCATGAATGTTGTTTACTTTCGAGAAATTTCTCTTGAACGCAAACGTATTAGATGTGTGCCCAATTAAAGAGAATTGAAGGGATAT